TTGATTGATTGATTGATTGATTGATTGATTGATTGATTGATTGATTGATTGATTGATTGATTGATTGATTGATTGATTGGTTGATTGATTGATTGATTGATTGATTGATTGATTGATCGACCGATTGATCGATTGATTGATCGATAGATAGATCGATCATTTGATTGACTGATTGATTGATAAATTGTTTAGGACATGCATTTAGTTTTGACTATCCTAATATTCTTCAGGGACCACAAGGAGAGCCAGGCCCACCTGGTCAGCAGGGAATTCCTGGAACACAGGTGAGCAAATGAGCCATACAGAGCATTTTGTCACGGGCTTGATGAAGTACACCATTGAATTTCTTCATTATCATAAGTTGGTATGATGTTAGGCTCTGTTTTTTCTTTTTTTCAAGTTAAACCAAAGACTAGATTAATCTCTTAATTTTCATATAGGTTCATTTGTATAATTTGTAAAACATACATTATTGCACAAACATTTTTTGGGGTAATTGCAGACACATCCAGTCATCAGGTGTCCACTCAGGATTACACAGGAACACATTAACAAAGAGTATTAGTTCCACAAACAAGCTAAATACTAATACACTCACAACACCGTGACTCATGCTCATTTCTACCTGTGTTTTTTTCTTTTTTTAATTTTCTATATAGGGCCTTCCTGGTCCTCAAGGGCCCATCGGACCACCTGGAGAAAAAGTACATATGTTTTTTATTGTTTTTTTTTTTTATCTGTAGATTGTTATGCTAATGTATCTGTACCCTTTAAGATTACATGAGACATAAGTTAACCTTAAGTCATATAAACTAATACAATATGGAGTAAATTCTGCCTTTTCTCATTTTGTAATAGGATATTGATGAAAAATTATGAATATTCAACTGTTAAATTGATTTAGCTGCACAGGACCAAGTATCTCAAACTTGTCCTGTCATATGGATTTCTTATTTGAATAAATTTTTTTGTTGTTGTATACTTTGTGTTGGATATCTGCATATTTTAAAAGGAAATTTATTGTTTACTTTTCCTGTAAAAATGAAAGAATCTATAGCTTAATGTTTGATATTGCAGAGAATTCTTCAATGTTCTGTTTCTCTAACTAATGCAGGGACCTCAGGGCAGGTCGGGGTTGCCTGGACTTCCTGGAGCTGATGGCCCTCCTGTGCGTGCTCTAAAAAACTACAACACACACATAAAACACTTTCAAAATATTTCTGTAACAAAGATACATAGTTTATGGACAATCTTTTTTTTTTTTTTTTGGGGGGGGGGGGGGTATATGAGAAACGGTGTAAATAAATCAAAGAAAAAAACAGATTGCAATAATTTGAAAATTAGCTGATCCGCTAGTAAGCATTTTGAAAAATAGAAAACGGACCAAACAACTACAGATGTTCAAAATATTAGGAAATTACTATTTTAATTAATATTAGCAAATTACCTTATGTTCCACAGCTCCTTCTTTATTTGATTATTCTCCCAAACCCCCGTTCGTGACGGATCTATCCAGCAGACAGCCCAGTTAAACGCCTGGACTCATATATTGTCATTCTTGTCTTTTTCGTTTTCTATGCAATTTTTTAAAGTCTTGGAGAAATCCAGTTTCATCAAATATATGAAACATATGAGACAGCCATTTGCTTTTAGCGATGCAATATTCCACGTAACCCCTATCATACACATATACTGCTGCATTGCAGATGTGAGTAATGGGACCATTGAGCATGCTGTATCCTGTGGAGAAATGTGCATCAAGATTTTATTTGAAAAAAAGTGTCTTCTTGGTGTATGACTCACATGCCAACATACTTGTGAATAATGGCAGAGCTGTACATCAGAATTATTTTCAGGCATTTTTCTTTGCAGTGGCGAAATAAAGGACCTATGGAATTTGTTACCTAAGTTGCTAATATTAAACCTCCCTCCCTGCCCTCACAGGTAGATTTATACTGACTGAAGAGAAAGGTAGCCCTCATGTGCCCTCAGGCCCCAGAGCCTGCTGATTTACAGCTCCCTGCGTTGGTCGCAATTCAAATTGAAAGTGTCAGGTTTTCCATGCTGTAGCTTTTTAATATAGGTGTCTTTTAAAATTGTCCCCCCTCCTATCATTATGATATGAAGCATGTTTAAAACGATTAGCTATTATTTATTACAATTGGTTGTATTGATATTCTGTATGTGGCTGAGGGCACAAATCAAATCTGCATTTTGATAATTAACAGCGTAAATTTAAATAACTTGCACATAGAATTCTATTTTGTTGGTGTGAATCCAATTAAATCCATTGTTTTTGAGATTCAACAAATTTCAGTATTAATTCTGACTGTTTTTTTGGTATGTACAATCTTTTCAGAACATGCTGATCACTGATTTACTATAACTGTTTTGTGATCTTATTTTACAGGGGCATCCTGGTAAAGAGGGTCCTCCTGGAGAGAAAGGAGGCCAGGTGGGTGTTTTGAAGTGACAGGCTTGTTTAGATTGGGACATTTTTTGCCATTCATGGCAAATTTTCTTAGTTGGAAAGCAAAGTACCAAAACCGGTACTACTTTTGAATGTTGGGGTTGTTTTGAGATTTACGATGCTCTCTGTTTTTTTACTTCTGTGAACAAGTTAGATTACAGTTATGCTTTATTAGTATAACCCCTTTCGACACTTTCGGTCATGTGTTTGTAAACCAAATGGCTTCTGCTGAATAAAGCTTAATCATGATATACAATAACATAAATCCAGGTGTTTATGCTATGTTTTTTTTAAATTAGTTTATTGTTTCTTTATTTCTTTATTTCTTTGTTCATTTGGTATTTTGTACATGTTGAGTTTTGTTAACTGAAAACTTGACCTCGTCTTTCCCTTGATCCCACAGAACTGACAGATTCCAAAATTGCGGCTAATACTTTAATGAAATATTCATCTTAAATAATTTAGTTTGTTGTTTTCCTTTTATACTTATTTCAGTTATTATTTATGAGAAATACACATTGTTTCACTGAACTTACTTACTAGCATACTGAAGTGTTGGTTTACATAAAATTGGACCTGTTCTGAATTACAATTACAATACAAAAGAAAAGTCCCTCTTAAATACAAAAGAAAAGTCCCTGTTAAATACAATATGATAAGATTTGAAAGATAAATGCCATCTCCATTTAAAAGCTGATTCTTTGCATCAGGGTCCACTGGGTCCCCAAGGTCCTATCGGTTATCCTGGCCCTCGTGGTGTGAAGGTACTATTTTTGTGTTTTTCATTCATCAGCCACCTTTATCATTCTTATTGAAGTTTTACAAACTATATCAATATATTATAAGAGTCATCTCTGGTTTGAATTCAAATTAATCTCTGATCCCTGTCCAATAGGGGGCTGATGGTGTCCGTGGTCTCAAGGGATCGAAGGGAGAGAAGGTACACATTTGAAAAGATCTCTTTTCCTCTCAAGTTCAAGCCCCAAAAATTGCTAATGAAAAAAAGTTTGAAATTGTATGTTTTTGTTATTTTGCTATCACCCTGAACCAGTTTGTTACAGTTTGCTCAACCTATGAAACTTTCAGGCCACACCGGCTTTACGGATGGTCTAAAAACAGAAAACAAAACACAGAACTTTGAATATATAAGGTACCAGAACCACATATACGTGTATTCATGTCACAGATATTCTGTAAAGCTCAAAACCTTGCCGAGGTCAGTTGATAGCCATCCCGTAGAGAGGAAGAAACTTTCTTGGAGTGACCCCTCAGTCATTCAGTGTTGGATGTAAAGCTGTCATTGTCTTGGATTCTGGTTTGAAATAACATTGCAATCAGTCTTGAGTACTTTAAAAATAACTATGTGCTTCTGTAGAATTTAAACTAAGTTCGTCCCAGGTATGCAGAATTTCTATTTAAGATCAACATCATTCCACAGCTCTACAAAGCCTTTTATCAGACAATTTTGCTGTCCTCACATAGTAAGGTTTTTATGAACTTTTTTGTTGAATTATTTATACCAAGCAATTCAAAAGTACAAACCTTGAGGTGAAAGCTTTTGTTATGAATGAAAAATGTGTTTCACGTGAGGTTTGTGGTGGTTTCTGGTTGGTGTTTGTGATGCGAGATGCTGCCAGTGGTAATACTTGGTGTTATATTAAACATTTGGCTGAGAATTTACAAATAAGAGGTGTTGGACGTTGGAAAAGCGTCAAAGGCACATATCTGAGCACTGTTTTCCTGTATCGACCAGTTTTATGTCACTCAGAAATCTCCAAGTATGAAATCAATGGATTTACCAGAGAATTGCAGCATTTAAAGTGACTTCGTACATGTACCAACAGCCAATTTCTTAAAAAGGATTTGGTGCAGGTGCCAGAAGTATGCTTGGATAACCCAGCCTCCCTGCATGTTATTACACTATCAGTCCAGCAGATGGTGACATCAATCTTTAGGATCCATAGGGCGAATTAAAGTGGGGTTATTTTTTAAGCTCAAAGAAAACAAGCCACTGTTTTCAGTAGAATTTGTATCAAATAATCAAATGTTTACAGTCTTTCCTATTGTCTTTTTAGGGAGAGGATGGATTCCCAGGTTTCAAGGGGGACATGGGGATCAAAGGCGACCGGGTGAGAACCCTGAATTCATTAACAACCTCCTACGCCTACTGATTATTTATAATAACGTTGCTATAGATAAGTATGATAAACCTGTGTGCATTTGTGGAACATAGGGTGAGATTGGCATGCTTGGACAACGAGGGGAGGATGGTCCAGAGGGGCCTAAAGGCAGAGCCGGACCCAACGGAGAGTCAGGGCCTCTTGGACCAGCTGGAGAGAAGGTAGAGAGATTGTTTTTCCAAATCTCACTCCGGCCATTATCTACGACTCAGCTCTTATTTACATTAAATGTGTTTTTCAGGGTAAACTCGGTGTCCCGGGGCTGCCAGGTTATCCTGGACGACAAGGACCAAAGGTATGTTTGCATCAGTCTCATAATGATGAAGGTCACAATATCTGTCAAAGCACCAAAGGCATCTTGGGAATGTTTACTCAATTTCTTTTGTTTTCAAGATGATAGTTTGAAACATTTATTACATTTGATAATGTGTTTGAAGGTTAACTGAAACAAATTTCAGCATTATTCTTTACCAAGGACTTGATCAAGGGAATTGTTGAACAGTGCAGGATTTTTCAGGTTTTACAGAGGAAAACTTTAAAATAACAGAACATGTGAAAATGTTTGAATCTTAGATTTAGTTGAAGTAAAGGTTTATTTCATTTGATGTCCCCAAATGCTGCATGAGGTGAGGTTCCGCAAAATAGGTAAGCTAATTCATGATCTCTTCATTTTGTGTTTAAATGAAGATTAATTAGTAAAGAATCAAAGTGTTTGGATATAGAATCATCTGTATTTACACTCAGGCACTCTCTACATGGTTATTTAAGTCATATTTCACTTAAAAACAGTCCTCCTACCTTAAAGCTTTCATAATCTGCATAAAGAGCCTGCATTTATTTCAACATGTCATTTTATTAAAAAGCGTTAATCGAAGGCACCAGAGAAGACTTGTTTTCAGGAAAAGCAATACTAAAATACCAGACACGAACAAAGTGTCAATGTTGCAAATGCAATAGATTTCAAATTTGGAGCTCAATATATTATGAATTCCTGCCACAGTCCTGTTTGAAGCTATACAAAGAAATATGTATCATCAATATTGCTCTTTCACTGGCAACCAGCCCTCTGTTCCGAGTCTCATTCCCTTCCATGATATGTCTGTCTATTGACAGGGCTCAACCGGATTCCCTGGGTTCCCTGGAGCCAATGGAGAAAAAGGGGCCAGGGTAAGGAAACACATATGCTCGCCGGTGGACACACAGCTTTTGTAAAATAAATAAATAAAGCATCACATCCTTAAATAACAGAGAGTTGATTCTAATGATAAAAGCAGACAAAAGGAGGGCAGAGGAGAGAAAATGTAATTTTGTCATTGAGCCTTTTGGATTGAATGAGACATTTCTTTCCCAGTGTTGGCTGACATCTCACATGATCACTGATAGATGTTTGCTGCATTCTACTTAGATTTAAAATTACATAAAGTTTGGAATTGTGCTTTTGACAATGACAGAAGCAAGATGAAACTCCCTGCTAGTGATAATAAAGCTCACAGACCGTCTGTTCCCCTGCCTCTCGGCTGAGGGCTCCAAAACTGGGGCTTTCCTCCTGCCACAGCCAACAGCATGAACTGATGTGCTCTACCACATTAATGTACGCTGTGGGAGATTATGTGGGGGGGAACGTCCTTGACATCAAAAGGGTTCTTTGTTGGCAGGTGTAACTGAGCAGCACCAGCCTTGCACATCCTCCTTTTTTCTCTCCTTTCTGCACATCTTAAAGAGACTTATCTGTTGTCATTTTAAAGAGCATCTGGAGCTGTGCAACTAAAAGGAATTTGGGTTTGGGTTAGGGTTAGGGTTAGGGGTTTGCTGCCATACAATCCTTTAACAGATAAATAAAATGTTCAATTGTATCCATCCATCCATCCATCCATCCATCCATTATCAATACTGCATATTCCCTGATGGGGTCGCGGGGGGAACTGGAGCCTATCCCACTTTATGCTAAATATATGCATACTTGGATGAACGATTACATTATTATTACATTTGAGCTGTTGACAGCATTGTTATCACTTGTCACTATTTGACTATCTAAAGATCAGCTTCTTAGATAAATGTGTTGCAGTATGTCTAGTAAATGTCTGTTGAGCCAATTCCACTACAATGTAGCCAGTAGCCGTCCTTTGGGCAACCCCTCTGTTTGCTCCTTTGTGGTGTCGGGGACACAGACTTCACTTAACTACCAAATTGTATTAACACGTTATTAATCTCTAAAGAAGAACTTTGCTATCTCAGGATGGGATAACAGCGTTATCTCAACAACTGCACTTCTTCTCTGCAGAACACAAGTACAGTAAAATACATACTAGACACAAATAATATTAAAATCCATTTTGGTCATTTAACAGGGTATTGCAGGAAAACCTGGTCCAAGAGGGCAAAGGGGTCCAACGGTACGTCATACTTCTTCCTACTAACCTCCTTTTTCAGAGCAGGTACATTATACTGTATCAGTGTAGTCAGGGTCTGACATCGTTGAATTGGTATGTTCTTTCTTAAGGGTCCGCGTGGTGCTCGAGGTGCAAGAGGTCCAACAGGAAAACCTGGTCCCAAGGTAAAGACGCTGCACATGCTAAAACAAATGAACACTGAGGACTTTTTTTCAATTTAAAAAACTGAACTGTATCCAGAGAAATATCGACTTGTCAATGATTTTAAAACTAACCGGAAAATTCTGAGGCTATGTACCTTTCCTTGTCTGACGCATCTCAAATATGTGAATCGCGTCAAAGCTTAGTTAAATATTTACAGATAAAGTATTTGTTGTTGTATGTTACAGGGCACGGCAGGCAATGATGGCCCTCCAGGCCCACCTGGTGAGAGAGTAAGTCCATAAATCACCCATTTGTTGCAATGGCTTTTTTATTTTTTATTTAATTGATTTTAGATGTTTATCTTGAATCAGCATAGACTCCAAGATTACACATATATTTCTATATATATTTTTGTATATATATATATATATATATATGTATATATGTACACAACTTCATCACATTTCAGACTTTTATCAGAACATGTCTCAAATGTGTTTGACTTTAACTGCTTAGTTCACCATTAGCTCTTGAATTTCATTGACATTGCATTTTCTTTTTTATAACTGTGAACATGGATATAGCAGTGTCAGGAAGCTTTACAAAAGCACATTTTCATTTTTAAGTGACTACCAGAGGTTAGGAGTTCTTTTCTTCTGTTGTCACATTCATAGTGCCTCGGATATAATGCTTGGCCGTGGGCCTGTCAGTTCTCCAAAGAGATTATGTTATGCATTTTTAAAAAGCACGATTCTTGGTTGGTAAGGGCAGATCTGAAATTTTAATTTGTGAGAATATCTGAAAGCTTCTGCTTCTGACTTTAAATATTTTAAACGCTATAATAAATGTGCTCAACTTAGATAAGTTTTAAAAAATTTAATAATATTCATTTGAAATCAAAAGCCAACATGTTTACATTATAAACTCCAATCCCAGACAAGTTTTGACTTTTTTATTTATTTAGCAGAAATTTAAATATTACATTTGTTTGAATCTTTGAATAGTAGACAAAAATACATCCTTTGAAATGTCTTCATAGACCAAAGTCAATGTATGCAGAAAATAAAAACAATTGATGCTTTGCCTATGAAAAAAATGCCACGTGTGTAATGTCACCTTCGGTTTAATTAAAACTTTCATTCGTTTGTTTACTAAGGATTCTGCTTGTTGTACCTTATCTGTCAAGCCAATTTAAATCATCATTACTATCAATATTTATGACAACTTACAGGACTTAAAAATTTAAAGAATTATATTTGAAAGTTATATTAGAAAAATCTCTTGTCTGGTTTAGAGTTTATTCTATCGTATGTTATGTTTGCCAGTATTTAAAAAGTTTAATTTGCTTCACTTCATATCATTCTTTTCCCATTTGTAACACTGGAAATGGGCCAGTAGTTACAAATCAAGATCACAACATTGGTTGAAACTTTGTACGGATCTGTGGATTAATGTGATTATCAATGACCAATGGAATTTTATTACATGTCAGTTTTCACCTACTCATTCTTATCTCCTCAACTGTTAACTTCTTGTTAGCCATTCAACTTACAGGTTGTGGCAAAATTGCTATTTTTAATTAACAATGTCCCACCTGTGAAGGGCATTAACCAAATAGCTTTGATTGGCTTGTTTGAGTCCCCCGGACGCTTTACGCCTCAGAAATTAAAACGTTTTTTTCTGTTTGCATTTGAGATCAATAAGGCTTTCTCATTTTCAGGGACCCCAAGGACCACAGGGACCAGTGGGCTTCCCTGGACCCAAAGGCCCTCCTGTAAGTATTTCTTTTTCCCCTGACAATGAAACCCTCTACGCCAAGGTGATGTGACTTGCCAATTCTATCAAGGATTCTATGTCTAGATAACACTATTTGATTAACCTAGTTGTCAAATATCAATCTTGGTGTTAAGTAATACATAGTTGTCACCCTGAATCTGTAAAGAAATAGAGGTTAGTCAGGCTGTTTGGAAGTAGACCCTTTTTTCTCTCTCTCTTCAGTCTTGGCAAAATATATTTAAAAAATATATTTTGCATATATATGTATATATATATATATAAAAAATATACTTATTGATTATTGACATAGTTACATCTCAGTCCTCAGACTTTTACCAAAAAAAATACCTGTCATTTTTTTCATTGGTGTTCCAAGAGTCTAACTATTATTTGTTTTCCCTCCGAATATTATAGATAAGATAAATTTAGTCATGATTAAATCTCTTTACTTTGATTTACTTTACTTTTCTATTCATAAAAAATATGCCAGTAATGTACTGTAAATAGTAATTTCTGCCTAACAGGGACCTCCTGGAAAGGATGGACTGCCGGGACACCCTGGCCAGCGTGGTGAGACTGTGAGTGTTGATCAGTTAGTCATTTATTTAAGCTGTCGGACAGCTTAAATAAAAGTGAAATGCTTAAGTCTGTAAACAAATACAAAATTAGAAACCTAATAAAACTTTTTTTTTAGCTGGAAGTTTTCAAACTATCTCTCAAGTACAGTATGGATTTTATATTTCCAGCCAATTGCTTTAATATATGGGCCACAGCAATTGGCAATGTTACACTTCAGCTGGATGCCAAAAGGAAGCCTATAAAACAGAGACTATTCTTCTCCTGTCTTGTCACTCATGCATGCACAAACATTGTTCTGTTGCATCAGTTTAAATGGCTTAGACTCTTCGCTGATGAACTCAGACTCTGCTTAGCTGGAGAAATGCCCATTTCTGACGGATCATCTATTTTGCTGTTTCATTTTAACACATCAGTCAGCTTATAGGGGGAAAAAAGCTCTTCATTTTCCCTACGTATTAATTCATCAAGGATTGTGGAGGATCAGCTCTCCATTTTTGAAGGCTTTCACACAACGAGCCAGCATGAGCTCATGTCAAATTAAGTCATATTAAATATTTCGTTGATATCACAGTGTCCACAAGGGGCAGATGAAAGTTTGGCAAAACAGTGTTTATCGAAAACCCTAACAGATACTAATGGACAATCAATCTAGATGAAAATGGATTAAACATTTTGAAGTATAGATTTTTTTAATGTATCACATCAGATATCACATACGCAGACAAACCATACAAGATAGCAAAAACATAATTAATACATAAAGTAAGTATCATTTGAATAATATAAAGAGATGTATCAGTGATTTTCACATATGCAGAATGAAGATATATTTGTGAAGATACATGTGTGTGTGTTTGTGTGTGTGTGTGTGTGTGTGTGTGTGTGTGTGTGTGTGTGTGTGT